CTTCTTTCTCTTCTGGGTTCTTTGGGAACTAAAACTGACATTCAGCCTAAGTGCCTCATTTTTTTTTTTTTTTACTGCAACACAGTATAATTATTTAGATAATGTCTCCTGATGGCCCAGAAAATGGCACATTTGACTTTTCAGTCTTTACTGACCTCAACAACTTCTGTCAAAACAATGGGAAATGGTCAGAGATTCCTTATTTTCCAGGCTTTCTTTTATTTGCATGCCTGTCCCTCCCTCCTTAAGGCCTATCATGCCTTCCAAGTTCTTCTCACCTGTGAGACTCCTCCATTTAACCCTTCTGATTCCTGTTCTTCTGACACAAATCTGCCTCTCCTCTGGATTCTTCATTTTCCTTCTCAAATCTCCCAGACTCCCTGTCATTGACACCTTCAGCATCTCAACACCCTCCACCACACACCCAGACCCTATTCTTCCTCCTTTGGCTCTGACCAGCCCACCAGGAACACAACCTCAACCTCAGCCCACAGTGCTCTAAGATCTCACATCTGAATCCCCTTTCTCACCTCCAAGTCATCATACGGGCTCACAAAACCGACCCCTCCTCCACCCTCTCAGAGAGGTTGTGGGGGCTGAAGGGGTGGTCAGTGTTCATGTGTCCTTCACTCTAATTGATCTCTCTCAGTTTGAAAAGGCCTCAGCTCTTTTGATTTTGCCAATACAGCTACAAGTGGTTTAAGATCTCTTATTTCCAAGCCATTTTTACTGTCTGTTCCTCAACTTCACTTCTCAAATCCTGTTCTACCTTCCGAATCCTCTTAGCATGCAACTGTAAATGAGCTCATTCCATTCCTCTCTGACAACATCCATCAATCCTTGTCTCCTCCTCTTGAGGACTTATCTCTCTCTTCTGTCTTCTTGACAGCCATGTTCCTCCCATATCACCCTCTGCTCACTCCTTTCAGACTGCTGTATAGCATGTGGAAGCACAGACCTGAGGGTAAAAATACAGAGATTGGGCCCATTGTAATCTCAGGTCCCTTTATGATTCTACATATTATCCAAAATCAGCAGCAAACAGGCCACTCCACAAAGGAATGAGCCCCTTCCAAAGAGAAAAGGACTGTGCCTGTGCAGTCTCTACACTGGCATGGGGAGACTAGCAGTCTCCTGCCCATCTGTGACTATGCAGGAGCTTCTTTTCACCAGTTCTCTCCCTCTGCAGGGCAGCAGCTTCCTGCCTGCCTGTGACCTGTTTCATGTACGGACTTCTTTTCACTGACCTCCCTCAGCAGAGGAAACTTTCCTCAAGCCACTAGCCTGCAACTGCTCAGGGGCTTCTCAGCAAACCTGCGCCTTTCTGGGCAGCTATTCCTGCCCACTTATGTCTATACAATTGTCTCTTACTTCTCTGTCTTTTTCTCTAATAAACCTGATCTTTAAATATAACTAACATCTCTGTCACTTGGGAACTTGTCGCCTGCCCCTGAAAGGGGAGCTCTGGGGAAACATTTCCCAGAGTGAACCCAAAGACCCTGCACTCCAAACCCACTCTAAAAAAACACATCACTGGGGACATTTTGTTAAAATTTGAAACATAAAGTAACTTCACATGGTATTATTTAGCACACAGTAAACAAATAACAAGTGTGTATTAGATGAATGCATATAGGATTAAATACAAACTCGTCAGTGTTAAATTCAAGGTCTCCTGGAATCTGAAGCCAATCTAACTCTACAAAAAATTAGATACATCTCTAACTTTCTTTTTCCCACCTCCACCCCCATATATGAACCTTATGCTCCAGATACCTTGGCCCATTCACCGGTTCTGTTGTATAGGTTCTGTGCCCTCTCCTTCAAAGCCCATACCTGTTGGAGACTAGCTCCAACTTTTGAGGTGTCTGGAGGCAGCACAGGCAGGACCCTAAGATGGGAAGGCATCGACGAGCAGAGATTCCAAAAGGGGAGACAGGAGCAGGTGCGAGGAAGACATGGGAGTCAGGATAGGGTGCAAGTCTTCCTGCTATCCCTTCAGCAGGTCTTTATACTGTGTAGCAAGTAGTTAATTGTGATAATGCATAGGGTAAGTTAATGAGATATCTCCATAAAACATTCTCAAGGACAAGGGGGAAAAGCATTCTTCTCTTAACAATTTATGGTATAATAGATTATACGTTTTGTGATAGTTACCATGTATACAGCTGTCTAGATATCACTCAGAGGAAGAGGGGTCTGGGAAAGAGTGAGCTTGTTAGCAAAAGGTTGTTAAGGGTCTTGGGGTAGTAATAAATTGTGTTAGCAGTGTTAGCAGTGATTGTCTAAACAAAAGCTAGTGGCTAATTTAAGGCTAGCAGAGAGAGTAGTCAGTGCTTGTTTTAAAAAGGAGTAAATTAAGAGAAAGTTGTACAGTTGTATATCAAACAACACCTGTGTAGTCAAGGTTAAAATTTGTCCATTATGCCCTGGGAGCCTTATCTGAGATTTGCTTTTTTATTTAAAGAAACCAAGGAAGCTTCCCAGGAGTTTTTTATGTCCTGGGGTCTTATTTCTCCTGGGGCTTGCCTTTTGTCTCAGGAGACAGAGGAATTTCTCCTCCTGGGGCAGCTTGCCTGAACCAGGCAGCCGCCTGTGTGGCTAAGACAATCCAGTTATAAACTGAATGTTGCTCAGAATATTTTTATATTATGTTTATACAAAAAGGGAGGTCATAACATAAGTTAGCAGTGGACAGTCTGATTTTTCAGAACTTATCCCGATCCACCCGGAATCTGTCAGATGATGGACGTTGCATAACTTGTGTCATTTCCCCCTTTTTTGTTTTGAAATCAAAGCTGAAATGCCTTTAATTCGACATGGGTCTTTCTGAGGGCTGTGAAGAGCGCTTGGACAAGGGCTGGAAATATACACAGGAGAGAGAGGATGATTAGGAGGGAAATGCCAAAATTAATCAAGGAGGGGAGTGAGAATCAAGCAGTTGTAGAGGTGTAATGTTGGAGAGCAGAGAGAAAAGAGTCAGCAACTTCAGCAGGAAAGGCAGCAGGAGTGTAGGAAAGGCTGATAACTTTAATTTCATCCTGTAAGGAAGACATGTCAAGGGAAACATCAGTATTATTCCATACACCAAGCAAATGATTTTTAACATTTTTCCATGGAACAGAAGAGGAGTTATACTGATGGGGAGTAACACAGATCCACTTAAAATCAATATGACAGCGAGTAGTAAGGTGAGTTTTAATGTGTTGGATCTGGTTACCAATATAAATAACCATCTCCTCTAGAACATTAATTCGAGCTTCAAACTTTTTATCAATGTGCTCTTGAAAAGCGAGAGCCTGGGAAACATCATGAGAGAGGTCATTAACATGATGGGCTGTATGGACTTGTTGCACAAGGGCAGTGGTAGAAACTGCTACAGAGGCAATTATGGAAATCAAGGCGGTAATGCCCAGAATGAGCGCAGCTACAAAACGTTTTGGACGTCTCAGGCCATCATTGATGAGCTGGAGAGCGCGGGTGCCTGAGTCATCATACCACTGGCCTTTGAGTTGGACAGGCAGGACTACGTAGGGAGGTTGATGGATGATCATAAAAGTAGTCGTGCCCACGGAAAGGTCCAGGCAGTTGGTAAGGCGGTAGCCGAGACAGGTGATGCTGTAGGTCTTGTGGATGTGGAGAATCTGGCGACTGCCAGTCATCTGAATCAGCAGAGTGTAGGGAAGTCCGACACAGGCTCTGACAAAGGAAATGTTTTTGGGGGCATGGGGACGAATAAGAGAAGTAGATGCTGATGCTGCAAATAAACGATAAAGTTCAGTATGAATCACAATACCATGACGGGTGGAAAAGAGGAAGGAAGGAGCAACCCAGCCATAGCTATACCAACGAGAGAGAATTTCATTACAAGGGGCAAAGGAATTATTCCAATGGTATATAGTTCCAGAAATCAATTTGTCCCAGAAGTTGGTGGGATTCGGTGGGCCAGACAGCTTGATTGTAGCTGCACCTGCTGCTGAAGGATCAAAAATATATGTTGAGTTATTGATAGGGGCTAGATGCAAGCCTGCAGGGTAAAAGGCACAAGAGTGCCAGAGAGGGTATCCATCTCGGTGGTCAATGTGATCCCAGACTTGTCTTATTTCTGGAACTGAAATGTCAGTGTAATTAGGAAAGGAAGTTGGGGACAAGGTCACTACCAGGTCCTGGTAGTTGGAGGGCCCGATGGTCAGCATCTGTAGGACCCACAATTGATGGTGCCATGAGCTCTTGCTGAAGTCGTAGATGGGAGAGTCAGTTAGAAAGGTGTGATAATTAAGGGGAAGGCATCCTTCCTGTAAAGGGGTAGAATGGTGATGCATAATGGAGAAGCATAAGGGCATAGAATCTATACCACCGTGGAAGGAAAAGTTAGAGCTGGTTTCATGTTTGAGGAAGGAATCTGAATCACCTCCAAGAAGGTTAGAGAAATTAGTAAACACTCGAAGGGGTGAAAGAGAGTTCCATGGAGTAGGGTGCAGTATAGGAGGATCAGGAATGTAGGTCCAGTACTGAGATGCGAGGGTAATGGGTACTTGCCAAGTGAGAATAGCGATCATAGCCAGTAGGAGATTCTCCGTGGATGGCGGTACCCCTTGTCTTTCCAATTGAGAGGCTTGACAGCTCAGGTTTTTAACCTGACCCCAGTTGGAATATTTCCCCAAGGGCCCTCATGATGGGAGGTGGGGGCAGGGGGGGGCCACTGATTCTGAAGAGGGTGTGTGGTGGTCGCTATCCTCCTTCTGCAGGTAGAGGCGGCGAAAGGTTGGAGCCAAAATCGCATCCGGGTTGCAGCATTCATCTTCTGGGTGATCCGTGTGTTTGCAGCGGCGAGGAGCTGTCCTAGGCGGTGACTGGTTTGAGTTGTCGTGGGGGGACATAATGACGAATCAATCTGTCAGGAACCTAGATGGGCGAATCTAAGTCCTGTGGGAAAATACAATCATAGCCTCTCCCTGTTGTAAGGAGTGGATCTGGCCCCTTCCAGGTTCCCGTTAAAACTAGAGGTTTTGGCTCTGAGCACACCTCAGGCTTCCAATGTCTTTCCATAGGGGAGGTCCCTGAGGCATCACAATTGAGAAAATTGAGAACAAAAAGAGCATGGTTAAGGATGTGATGGGGAGAGCTGTATTTGAAATCAGATGTAATTTTAAGATTTGGGATTTTAAAGTCTGATGAGCTCTCTCAACGATGGCCTGGCCTTGTGGGTTATAAGGAATTCCCATAGTATGGGGAATTCTAAAGGAAGCACAAAAATTTTTTTTGAAGGCAGTTCTATATACTGGTGCATTGTCAGTTTTTAAGGCACAGGGCTTTCCAGCATAAGCAAAACATGACATTAAGTGTTGAAAAACATCTTTAAAGGCTTCGCCAGGCCTTGCAGTGGCCATGATCAGATGTGAGTATGTATCAATAGAAACATGGACAAAGCTGAGTTTTCCAAAGCTGGAAACATGAGTAACGTCCATTTGCCACAAGTCATTTTGCCTAAGTCCCCTGGGATTGACTCCCATAGGAAGTGAAGGCTGGGTGGTGGGACAGGCTGCACATCTCTTAATAATTTCTCGAGCAGTTTCACGGGTCAAATGGAATTGTCACCGCAGGGAGGAGGAGTTTTGATGATGCAGTGCATGGTCTGCAGTAGTCTCCTGTGCCATAAAGGCAGCATCTTTAGTGAGTAAGTCAGCAAGTTCATTTCCCTGGGCTAGGGGTCCGGGTAACTTAGAATGACCCCGAATGTGGCCGACATACACATTGTGTTTTCTCTGTCTTAGCAAGGACTGGAGTTCTAAAAGGCGGGCAGCTATAGTAGTCTTACTGTCAGCAATGACAACAGTCTCAATATCAGGAAACAGTCTGGCTATATACTGCGAGTCAGTGAAAAGGTTAAAGGACTGATCGCGTAGCTTGTTAAAGACCTCAATGACCGCAAACAGCTCAGTCTTTTGGGCGGACGTTTCACCAGTCTGTACCGAGATTGTTTGCCATCAATAATGTAGGCAGCTAGTCCATTTGAAGACCCATCCATAAAAACCAGAGAGGCTGGATGAGGTAAAGGGGAAGAACTAACAACTTTGTGAAAAATAAAGGCATGTTCCTTTAAGAAGTGCAGCAAAGGGTCAGGGGAAGGTGAAACTTGATATCCCCCATAAAGGACTGAGTAGCAACCTGCCAATTGTCATCAAATTGTAACAGCACATCAAGCTGTTCCTTATTGTAGGTTATTATAAGAGATTGAAATTTTCGTCCGAAAAGTTCCAGACTTCTCCTACAGCCCTTGACAATTAATGAAGTCACTAATGATGGATAAGCACAAACAAACCTTTTTGTGGTAGAAGGAAGGTGCAGCCACTCTAGTGGGCCCTGTTGCCATAATACCGCAATCAGGGTGTGAGCCATAGGCAGGATTACAAGATCCAGGTTTTAGTGTAATCAAGCCTGTGTAGCTGTTGTTTGTTAATAGCGGTGTTAATTTTTTCAAGAGCCTTCTTTGCCTAGGACATCTAGGATCCACACTGCCTCTCAGAATGAGAAACAGAGGCCAAAGATCATCATTTGTAAGCCTGAAATAGGGTCGAGTCCAGTTAATATCTCCTAACAATTTTTGGAAATCATTTAGTTTTTTTTTTTTTTTTTAAAGATTTGTTTATTTATTCATACAGAACTGGGTACAGGCCAGAGACGCGGAGGGTGAGAGGATTCACCAGAGACAGAGTGGGGAGCAGAACAGACAGATCTACGAAGTACACTGCTGAGGGCAGCAGCGGGCGGGCCAGGAGAGGTCTGTCTCGCCATGTGGTCACCTCCGGGGCAGGCAGGGATTGAACTCATGCGGAAGTGGCTTTAGCCTCCCAGTGCAGTGCTTTAACCCTCTGCGCCACCAGGGAGGGCCTCATTTAGTTTTTTAAAGCGTCAACCCTCAACTGTAAATGCTGGGGAGTTATCAAATTAGTGTGAATTACACGTCCAGTCCCAGATAATTGATTGGCGGTGAAGTCTGGATTTTCTCAGGGGCTATAACTAGCCCAAAGTCTAACAAGCAGGAAGTCAATGCATGAAGAGACTCATTTAGTAAGGCATATAGCGAGTGACTAATTAAAATGTGGGAATGTCTCCCTAAATCTTAGTAAAGCCTGATCTACAAATTTTTGACACAAGGTGGGACTATTTCTCATTCCCTCTGGTAGTACCTTCCACTACTGAAACCTCTGATATGGGTGCTGAAGATTAGGTGACAGAACGCTAAAGGCAAATCTTTTTCGATCTTGTGAGGCCAAAGGGATGGTGAAAAAACAGTCCTGGAGGTCTATTACAGTAACTGGGTCCCCTTTAGGGACTGCAATGGGAGATGGCAGCCTTGTCTGGAGGCTCCCCATTGTTTCCATGATAACATTAATAGTCCATAAATCTTGTAACAATCTCCATTTACCAGATTATTATTAGTTATTATTATTATTTTATGGCTCCTTATTGTAGGACAATGATTAATATACATACATAAAAATAAGATTTTATACATGTTTTAGAAAAGCAATGTTAACAGTTGTGTTTATGTCAAAGAATTACCTCTTATTTTATTATTTTTAAGTGACAATGTTTCCTTTTTAGTTTTTATTTTATTATATATGTTAAATTTATATATATATATATTATTTATTTATTTTTTAATGAGAGAAATTCTGTGGAGTGTCTCAGGAGCTCTACTGAGGTTCCACAAAATTTCCTTTAATGAACCAAGTGATGAGTTACCAAATTATATTTTAATTTAGGATTTTGGGAAGCTTTGTCACAAAAACAAGCAAAAATAACAGTAATGACGATATTGACAGTTAAACCATAGCCTTTTAGTTATTTTTACTTAAAAACTAAAAAAAAAAATTAAACCTTAATTAGTTAAAACCTTTATTTATCTGACATTATTAACCCAAGTAAGAGACAAAAATTATACCTGTTTTAAAACAAGTCAGTTATTATAAAAATTACATTTTTGTTTGCTTATAATATTTATAGGTACCATTTAAACCAATTTAGAACACCTCGAGGCCAAGACAATTAACATAAACAAAAGACATACAGACATGTAACATATAGACGCAGACAGTTTTTGTTGTTACTCCACGTGGAATCCTGTGTAACTGCAGTTTTAATTATATAGGCCAGAATGATAAAAATAGTAATAAAAATAAAAACAGAAAAAAAGGAATAAAAGGAAAAATTTTAAAGAAATATCAAAATTAAGACTGAAGGCCTTCTTATAAAAAAATACTGTTAGCATAATTGCACAATGTCACTGTTACATTTTTAAATTTTCTTAAAGGAAGGAGACTGGTTAGAGCATATTTGAGCATATTCATCATTTTAGGATTTTCTTTTTCTTTTTTTCTTCTTGTTTTGTTTTGGGGTCAACTCATTCCTTACTTTTTTGATGATTTTTTTTTTTTTTACGTTTTATTATCAGCCTGATTTATGTCCACTGGATTTGCCACAAAAGCCTCAGAATTAGGTTTGCGTAAAAGAAGAGTGGTTTTATTTGAGGCAACATTATGAATCTCTTTCAGTCTTTTATTAATAGCTTGTGGCTCTGGTACAGGATCTAGGATATATTTCAAGAGTCTCCACAAGGTAAATGCTGTAACAGGCACATTGTCAGGCCCATGGTGGGTGTAATACAGCTTCATCTTTCCCATTTTTTTCTAAGCTTTTGTATCTAAGCTCCGGTTTTCATGGAGCCAAGGACAACACATTTTTACAAAGTCTAAAAAGGCTATCAACTGGGAATGAATTGACTTAATATTACGCTTATCAAGAGTATGCTTAACAACAAAAAGGCATCTTTTCTTGGACTGATTTTGACTCATAGAAAAGATTACTTTATAAGTTCTGTGATTCCTGCCTTTCCTAACTCCTGTATTCCTTCACAGAGGGGAGCGCGCAATCCCTAGGCTAGGCAGAATCCTAGCCTTCCTGAGGAGAGAGAGAGAAAAAACTTACCTTAAGATTCCTTTTGGGATTCCTCTTGAAGCCCCACGTTTAAGGGCGCCATATGTCAGAGACTAGCTCCAATTTTTGAGGTGTCTGGAGGCAGCACAGGCAGGACCCTAAGATGGGAAGGCATCGATGAGCAGAGATTCCAAAAGGGGAGACAGGAGCAGGTGCGAGGAAGACATGGGAGTCAGGATAGGGTGCAAGTCTTCCTGCTATCCCTTCAACAGGTCTTTATTTATACTGTGTAGCAAGTAGTTAATTGTGATAATGCATAGGGTAAGTTAATGAGATATCTCCATAAAACATTCTCAAGGACAAGGGGGAAAAGC